ATTTCAAACAGAGCTATCTAAATAGAAAAATATTGTATTACAATTTAAGGAATGCTTCAGAAATGGTAGAAATCATGTCAAAAATCCATTTTCTCTCCTTAATAAGTATAATAAAAGACAAAAGGAAAAAATACAAAAAAGATAAAGGAGGTATAGCAATAAGAAAAATATTTTCTGTTCATAAAAGATATGGTCTGTCAGAAGTATATATAGTTGCCAGAAATTTTGTGTACCTAATAATATAGATTAAACATACATAAGGCAAGGGGGTCAGCATGTAGTCTTGATTAAGGTGCTGAATTCTCACATGGCTGGACCTGAAGGCTTGAAAATCATGCCAGACGCATGTGCATGTGTGTGCAAAATCCAAGTGGAGAATAGCAGAGAAGGGATTACAGCATGGCCATACCCCAGGGGAGTAATTTTTGACTTTCTCTCTCTCTTTCTCTGTCTCTCTTTGGTGAGTACATTTGCCCTATGGTAAAAACCTAAAAACAGTAATAAAGCAAAACTTGGTAAGTTGAAGAGCTACTGACAAATTCACAATATAGGGAGAGATATTAACCCATCACTCAAAAATAAATATATCAAGTATATACAAAAATGTAGATGATGAGTTCAATAACACAATAAAATTAACAGGCTTGAATTAAATTATATATGAAACATTTTTTTACAGTTATTTTATTTAACTTTATTCATTCATTTATTTTGATTTGACCAAAGGGGGAGGAGGGAGGGAGAAAGAGAGCGCACAAGCCCCCAGGTCCAGGACTCAATCCATGGTTGGTCATGTGGGAATCCAGTGCCCTTAATCACCATGCCACATGCCGGCCCTATATATAAAACTTTTTATCAAGTCAAAAATACACATTGAAACACTCATGAAATATCTGCAAATATGAGTCATATATCAGGCCAGGACAGTTTCATACGTCTCCCAAATTACAAACTACAAAGGCTACATTCATATATACACATTAACTTTATATATGGATATATTTTAAAATCAACTTGTCAATTTCTATAAATAAACTTGGTAGGTAATCATTACAGATACTGAGACTCGGGAGAATTACTAATGAAAGCATCTTGGGTAAAATTATCATGGGGATGAGACTTGTGAAAATGCCCTTAGAAATGCCTCTTTTCATAGGCCTTTCCATGGTAACTCTGGACTAAGAGATCAGGGGTACAACAGTAAACTGATCAGTTGCCACTTCCTGGGACTATCTAGGCACACAATCCCTCCCCTCAGAAAACTCAGTTCACTCTAGACATGTTACTATCAAGGCACCACTATCTTTCCTTTAAGTGTATTATAGCTTATTCAGTCACTATTGAACCTGCTGCTTGGTATTTTTTGATTATTGGTATTTTGTCACTATATACCTCCACCTACCTACCTACCTATATTTATCTATATAAACAGTTTGTGGTAGGTGGTGTTTTTGTTGTTGCTGTTGCAGTTGTTTCTTAATTGTAGTAAAGTACACCTAACAAAATTTATACTTTTCCCTCATAATGCTGGGCAACCATCACTGTCATCCATTTCCATTAGGCTTTTCATCTTGTAAAATTGAAAAATTGGAACCAGCAGAGGGTGAAATGTTTGTCGCTGGACTCCCACAGTCGACAGCAGATTGAGTCCTGGACCCCGTTATTTAAACTCATGATGGGCACATGTGCATGCATGCTCAAGATTCCAAGAGGAGAATGGAGAAGTGACTGCAGCCTGGCCATCCTCCCTGGGGGGGAGGGGTGATTTCTCGCTTTTTGTTTCTCTCTGGTGAGCACATGCACCCTTTAGCGACAATATTTCTCTCAAAAAAAAAAAAAACCTGGAAAATAATGTCCATTTTAAAAAATAACAGAAAACACTAACCATTTCCCCAACCCTGCCCTGCCCCTAGCAATCACCACTCCTATATTTTTAATTTCAACTGCGTAAGTATCTCATAAAAATATTTACAGTGGTTAAGGAAAAACAAAAACCATACACTATAGGGCCAGCCTACACTCATTATAATATACGTGTTATACGTGTGTAGTGTGTGTGCATGTGCATGCATTCTCTATCATGAAAATAAACTCAGAAAACCTACTCTCCCTCCCCAAAGGGGGGGGGGAAGAGTAGAAAAGGGTAGAGAAATGATGGTGTAATATTCTTTGCCCACTGGTACCTGAGATGCAGGAGTCAGGACAGCAAGTGGGAACTGACCTCTGTGCCAAGATCCCCCCACCTTTGTGCATACACTATTCACCCTCTCCTTTACGCCATCCTGTCTCTGATCCTCCTTGGGGCCCAAGTCTCCTCCGACCCATAGTAGTGGGAAGGCATGTCTGGAGACAGTGAGTGGATAACAGGATAACTGTAGACACCAGGAGCAGCCTCTCGTGTACAGAGGCTCTAGGGTGGAGTCACCTGTATGTCTTCACACTTAACAGGCCATGCAGTTCCTCTGGAGAGACTTGCAGCAGAGCCTGGGTTGTGATGAGCTCCTAAGTTTCCAGGTGGCTCATAATTCAGCCTTTCTAGCACTGTGGGATGTTTGTTGTGAAAACATCTCAACCGAATGAAAGCAAAATAAAAACAATGCACTGTGCCATATTAATTACAGGAAGAGGTGCATGGTATGAGTCTCAAGGCTGTTCAGATTGCCTGCACCTTTAGGCCACAGAACACTGCTCACAACCTCTCTCCACCCTATAATTGCAGAATACTGATGGTGTGAGCAGCATTTAGGCTACACACACATTTGTGATTACCAAAATTAGAATCACAGGAACCTCACTCCGTTTTAGATGCAACATTCACCAAGCCGGACTGGACCATGTGTTGGTGAATGTAGACCCTGTGATGCACCTGTAGTTACCTAGCAGTCTTATTAAATAATTGAGGATGGAGTTCTGGACAGATAAAAACAACAGCCACTCCAAATAATATAACTCATGACTGCCTTGGTCCATAATGTTCATACAAAGAAAAACCTGAGATTTCATGATTTATAGAGAATAGTTTATTTGGCTCACAATTCTAGTGTTTGGAAATCCAAGAGCATGGACCCAGTATCACAACATGGCCAACAAGAATAGAGAGGAATGCAGGCAAGTGCAGAGAGAGACAGAGAGTGCATGAGCAACCACGAACAGAAAACAGACTTTTTTGCTTTCCCTGGTTGTCTTTCCCATGCTTTCAGCTCATTTGATGGTGCCTGCCCACACTGAAGATGGTTCTTCCTCTCCATCCACTGACTCATATGCTCATCTGTTTGGGCAAAGTGCTACAAAGGAAGGTCTCTCCTTAAAGGTTTCCCCACTTCCCAAAGCAATTACATTAGGTCCAAAATTCAAAAATGTGAATCTGTGGGAACAACCCATTAATCAAACAAGTGATGATGAAGACAGTACTACAAATTAATGTTAGAAACTCTATATGTCCTCTCAACATTTGCATGTGAAAACCCTAACCCATGATGAAACTATCAGTGTTCTAATCCTATAAGGTTGCTGCCTGCTTACAAAATAATAGAGAGAGCCTAGCTTTCTTTCATCTCCCCAAAAGCACAAAGAAGAGAACAGAGTAAGAAGCCAGATGTCAGCCAGCTAGGAAGAAAGGCATTACTAAAAACTCATCCATTGGCAACTTAACCTTGGACTTTCAACCTCCAAAACTTTGGAAAAATGAATGCCTGTTGTTTAATTCCCTAATTATGAGAGTCAAAAATGTTTCCAACAGTTGCTAAATGTCCTTGTGGAGGCAAAGTTACCAACAGGAAGGATTCTTTACTGCTATCAACTTTGTTTTATATGTTCAATAACACTGATTCAACCAAATTACTTGAAAACTTTTATAACAAATTGGTCACTTTTCTTCATTACAAATTCTGCTACTCTAAAGTCTCAAGTTTTGTTAGAAATTCTGATACTTAATATTTATAGATTTACTTTAATCTGTTCAGTTGGATGAGTGCTTAATGAAATTTAATGACATTTTTCTGTTCTTTTTCTCCCTGCTCTTTGACTTCTAATCAACTTGGGGATAAAAGGTAGTAACAGGGTTTTTTTCCTGTGTGAATTTTTCTGATCCAAAAGGAATGCTAAAGTTTCTCAGAAGGATCTCCCACATTCAGAAAGTGTATTAGCTTCAATGTGCTGTGTTATTACTATAACGCAAACAGGTAACATATACATTGGTTCAAGAGAAAAGGTATTTATTTCTTATTCATATAAAACACAAATGGAGGGACCAGCAGTTGGTGCAATGGCTATGTCGCCAGACTCCCATGTAGTCGACCACAGTTCGAGTCCCAGACCAGGTGGCTTAAACTCACATAGGGCGCATGTACGTTTGCCCAAGATCCTGAGGGGAGAATGGAGGAGAAAAGACTGCAGTGTGGCCACCACGTTGGGGGGTGATTCCTTGCTTTGTGTCTGTCTCTCTGGCAAGCACACGTGCCCTATAGCAAAAACCTCTCTTTAAAAGAAAGAAAGGGGAACCAGCAATTAGCGTAATGGCTATGTCGCTGGACTCCTATGTAGCCAACCACGGTTTGCGTCCTGGACTCAGTGGCTTAAACTCACGCCAGGTGTGTGTACATGCATGCCGAAGATCCCAAGAGAATGGAGAAGGGATTGCAGCATGGTCATCCCCCTTGGAGGGTGATTTCTCGCTTTCTATCTCTCTGCCTCTGTCTTTCTGGCAAGCACACGCACCCTGTAGCAAAAATCTCTCAAAAAAAAAAAAAATAAAAAGACAAAAAAGGAAACACAAATGGAGATTTTGGGGTTAGGGTGATGATTAAGATACCCACTTTCTCCAATCATTTCCTTCTAAATCATCATGCATTTCTGCCAATAGCTTCCAAGGTCATCCTGTGGGTAATTTGCACATCAGTCCCACAAGTCATGAAAAATTGAAGACTACTTTGAAGTTGTTGTCTGTCAGGTCTGTATCCTTATTCCCCTTGAGAGCTGAGATTACATAAGACCACACACTCAACAATTATTTGGCTCAAAAATGCAGACTAAGTGTATGTCCCAGAGAAAAGAGATTGTTTTTTGGAGAACACAGCTAGTCACTGCCCTACAGGATTCCTACTGTGTGAGTTCTCTGAAGTCTGCTCAAGGGTAAGGTCTGAAAAAAAGATGTTTTCATCTTTATTATATACATAGGGTTTACCTCCTGTGTGAGTTTTCTGATGCCTACTGAGGTGTGACTTCTGGCAAAAGGCTTTCCTACAGTTGTTACATTCATAGGGCTTTTCTCCTGTGTGAGTTCTCTGATGTACAGTAAGGACAGATTTTTGATAGAAAGATTTCCTACATTCATTACACTCATAGGGCTTTTCTCCTGTGTGTGTTCTCTGATGTACAGTAAGGTCTGCCTTCCTATTGAAAGATTTTCTACATTCATTACATTCAAAGGGCTTTTCTCCTGTGTGAGTTCTTTGATGAACAGTGAGTTTTGACTTCTGGTAGAACGTTTTCCTACATACATTACATTCATAGGGTTTCTCTCCTGTATGAGTTCTCTTATGTACAGTGAGATCTGACTTCTTGTAGAAAGATTTCCTACATTCCTTACATTCATGGGGTCTCTCTCCTGTGTGTGTTCTCTGATGGAATGTGAGGTCTGACTTTTGGCAGAAAGACTTCTTACATCTATTACATTCATAAGGTTTCTCTCCTGTGTGAATCCTCTGATGCCTACTGAGATTTGATTTCTGGTTGAAAGATTTCCGACATTCATTACATTCATAGGGTTTCTCCCCTGTGTGAGTTCTCTGATGTACAGTGAGGTCCGACTTCCTGTAGAAAGATTTCTTACATTCATTACATTCGTGGGGTTTCTCTCCTATATGAGTTTTCTGATGTACAATAAGGTCTGATTTCTCATGGAAAAATTTTCTACACTTGTTACATCCATAGGGCTTCTCTCTTGTTTGGGTTCTTTGATGTTTTGTAAGATAAGATTTCTTAATGAAGGATTTCTCAAATTCACTAAATCTATAGGGTTTCTCTCCTGTGTGTATTATTGGATGTTTAGTGAGGTCACAGTTTTTATAAAATATATTTCCATAAACATCATATTCAAATGGTTTCCTCCCTTCCTGAGTTCTCTCTTGGGCAATGAGAGCCGAATTATCAAAGGCTTTCGCATATGCATATTTACAAGCCCCATACATATGAATCCTCTTCTGTGTCAACAATACTGCCTCTCTGTGGAAGGCTTTCTCCTGTCCAGAATATTCAAAAGGTTGCTGCCCAACTGGAATCTTAGGAAGCTGACTAAAATGCTCAGGATGTCTGAGGAATTTGCCAGTTGGATTAAGATCAGGCTCCTCTTGAGCATGCAGCTCATCAAAATTACTAGAGAGAAGCATATTCTGACATACACTAAACTCCTCAGGTATCATTCCTATATAGTTCTCATTATTTGTAATCAGCTTTAAGACATGGTTTAAGCTCAAACTAAATGTTTTTTCTAGTTCAATTCTCTCCTTAGTTGATATGTTGTTGTTGGTGATTACAAGTTGCCACAAAGTTTTATCTTGACTTTTCTCGCTGGTCTCATTTAGGTCATCCACTTTCTGGACATCTAAAATAAAAAAAATAAATAAATAATAAGCACATCCATAAACCTCATATAAGCATTTCTAATGGAATGCTCATACAAAGAAAGTCTCTTCTACCAGTGGCTAAAGATTTTCAAATATCAATAATAAGCACTAATTTATGGTAAGTATAAAGAAATTCCAAAAGGTTGTGGAAAAGTGGAATGAAAACTGCAACTTTCTTTTGGTGGAACTTACAATTCAGTTTTTAAAATATTCATTTTCTGTAAGCCTTTGAAGAAAGACCCTTCATATATGGTATTTCTCCCTAATAAATATAAGAAATTACATGAATAATTTTTTAATGCTAAATCATGTTTTTCCTTGACTCTTTTAAGATTTCCCTTTTACTACCAGAGAAAATATTTAGTTAAATTATTCACCAATGGTCTCATTGTAGTTTTAAGTTGAGTGGTTTTTAAACTTTTTCCCCCCTACTACCCTTTACTTATAACTGTGTGTTCCGTGATGCTTCATTCCTTATCCTTTAGCTGTGAAGATGGTAAGCTTATCCTGGACCAGTTACTTGCAATGATCATTTGCCAGTACCAGAGCAAGAATATTGCTTAGGTAAAAGTATTTGAATCTGATTCATTTTTATTTTTTTCTAGAGAATAACTACAGGCATCTGAGGAGTATGTCAAGCAAAAATATCTTTTCCCCCACCACAGATCAAGACACTTTCCTGCTAAATCCAAATTTAACCCAACGTTTACTGTCTCTCAGATCCATAACAGATAAACTAAGTTCAAGTGTGCCCTCTCCCCCCACCTGGAGAGTCTCTCCCTTCTGATGTAAAGAATTCAGTTTTGTAACCTAGACTATGTCCAACATCTTTCAAACATCATTTCTGGGTTTCTAAGATAAACACACCTGGCATTTTTATCCCCTTTCCTTATATATGCACCCCCTGCTTGATAATCACTAGATGCAAAGGCTTTTGTTCTATATGCTGAAGTTCCAACTATTTCATTTCACATGAAATAAAGTCTTTTATCTGCCTCATTATCTTGTCTTACTATGATTTCCACAAATCAAAAGGAAAATTGCTAGTAACTATATTCTCCTATCCCAAACAGAAATCTTTGTATTCCACATGAAACGCTTGGTTCACTCGAGCTTGGGAACCACAATCTCCTGGTTCTTCTTCCAAGTCCAGGACTACCCTTTCCCAGGCTCTAGAGCCTCCTCAGCTTCATGGCTTCTCAAGTCACAGTACACAAGGCTTATTCTTGCCCCTCTTTTCTCATCATCTCCACTATAACTTCAAATACAACTTTAAACCAACAGTGTCCAAACAATGTACAATGATATACAACTTCTATTCTAGATTGTATATCCACATATATATTATACATCCAACTTAAAATAGTTATTTCAAAATTAAGCTATACCAAATTAGGTAAATATTTCTAAAATTGCTTTCCCTTAGGACTGCTCCTAAAATAGCAAATTCCATTTTTTTTCTGTCATGCTGGTAAAATCTACTCTGTTGTTTTCATCTCACAACTACATACATTAATTTTCTCTCAATAAAATGTAAATTTAAAAATATTTGTAAGTTTTATATCTACTCAGGACTAATTCCTAGAGTGAGGAATAAAGAAATCTGTGTTTTAAAAATGTTAACTTGTGGAAAGGAGACACATTTGTTAAATTATTGCTACTATTAGGACAGCAGATGGTGTAAGGGTTACATCACTGAACTCCCACATAGTCCACTGTGGTTTGAGTCCTGGACCTGGTAGCTTAAAACTCATGTTGGGTGCATGTGTGAATGGGCCCAAAATCCCAAGAACAGAATGGAGAAGGGATTGCGGTGTGGCCATCCCTCCTTGGGGGTGATTTCTCACTTGCTGTTTCTTTGTCTTTCTGTGTTTGTTTGGCAGGTGCACATGCCCTATAGCAAAAATCTCTCTCTCTCAAAAGAAAAAAAAAAAAAATCCAGCATCTATGAGTTACCCAATTAACAAGCAATAAAAAAATTTCTAAATGTAGTAATAAATGTCTAAAATGATCCATAAAAATTAGGATGGGAGAAGGGCAATTGTGAGAGAAAGCAAGTAGCCAAGAAAAAAAATTAAGAACAGGAAAAGGATTGGAGTTTTCACACATTTCAGAAAGTGTTCAACCAAAAATAGGGGCTGATGGGTAGGTAAAGTCACAGAAGAACTCCTTAGATACATTACAACACACATGCCTGATACACGAGACCAGATGTCCTCAGGTCAGCAACCTGGCAGAAAAGATGGTTGAAAACAACTCAATGTGGCCAGCATCTGCTGGGCTCTGCTCTTCCTGGCCTCCCTGCCCAGTATGAACTGACTGACCTGGGAGGCTCTGGTTTGGGGGTTCTTCTACCATCCATGGCTCTGCTCCTTGCTCCATCTTCAAGATCAACTCAGGTTTGGTAATGCAATGCCCTGTTAATGGGAAATAATGCAGGACTTTTGCCAAACTGCTAAGTTGGGTAATTTTGAAGAATGACAACAGCCCAGCCTCAGAAGCTGGGCAATTTGAAACTTTTGTGTGAGAGGGGTGAACACTAATGTTTTCTTGGCCTGGAATCTTATGACTAAATAGCATTAAGCCTTATAAGTATTCATGTATTTACAAAGAAAAAAAAAAACACTTGCTTCTGGGAGTTACAGTGATGTCCACTCACCTAAGGACACTAGGTTGCTATATGTCTCCAGCATCACATCCCTGTATAGAGTCCTCTGAGCGTGGTCCAGGTCCTGCCACTCCTCCCAGGTGAAGCCTACAGCCACGTCCTCGAATGACACGAACTCCTGTAACAGCATATTTCTCTTAAGTTCAAGTGTTTAGCCCTAGGGGTCATGAGAACACAAAGTCTGGGAGTTCATTACACTGTGTGTGTGTGTGTGTGTGTGTGCACACATGAGTCTACATGCACATATTTTATGTTCCTTACATAAGATAGAGCTCGATTTCTATTCTATATGGTGAGAGGAGGAAGTATCACAGTAGAACACTCTTCCTTTGCACTAACTTATATTTATTTATTTATTTATTTTTATTATTTTTTTCTTTCTGGAGAGGTTTTTGCTATAAGGCATGTGCACTCACCAGAAAGACAGAGACAGAAAGCGAGAAATCTCCCACCTCCCAGGGGAGATGGCCATGCTGAAATCCTTTCTCCTCCATTCTCATCTTGGGATCTTGGGCATGCACGCACATGCGCCCAGAGTGAGTTTAAGCCACCAGGTCCCTGATTCGAACTGTGGTCGATCGACTACATGGGAGTCCAGCGACACAGTCATTACACCGTCTACTGATCCCAATACTAATTTATTAATTACTAAGAATATTATTATAAAAATTGCCATATAGGTCTGGAAATGTCTTTGTCATTAGGAATCATGGTATGATAAAAATTTTGCCTTTCTAAAAGCTTGGGATCTGATATAAAGATGTAAGGATAAATACATACCTGAATAATGTTAGAGGAACTAAATGAGACACAAGTTCAATGTACATCAATATAACAAAGAAAAAAAAAACCCAGTAACTTGTATTATCAGGCTGTACTTCACTGAAGAGCCAAAGATTTTTAGATTGTCTACATAAATGTGTTATGACTATGAAGAAAAAGTCCAGTTATAAAAACACACACAACACACACCACATTAATGGAATTACAGTGCCCTTTACAGGTGAATGTTTCTAGGCTGTGATAAGAGTTGGAGTTGCTATTGTGATGGCAGTATTAAGAGGGTTGAAACCTGATCTGACTAGATATTGAGACAAGACTCTTTCTTTTTTTTTTTTGAGAGTTTTTTGCTAGAGGGCACACGCACTCGCTGGAAAGACAGAGGGACAGAGAAATAGAAAGTGAGAAATCACCCCTCAGGAAGATGGCCCGCTGCAATCCCTTCTCCTCCATTCTCCTCTCGGGATCTTGGGCATGCATGCACATGCGCCCAGTGTGAGTTTAAGCCACAAGGTCCGGGGCTCAAACTGCGGTCGACTACATGGGAGTCCAGCGACAAAGCCATTACACTAACTGCTGGTTCCGAGACAAGACTTTTGGGAGAAAATTAAGATTAGATAAGATCATTAAGGTAGGGCCTGATGATTGAATATTGGTGGCTTTATAAGAAAAAAACAAGAGGAGAGATAAAAAATGTCCCTTTTCTCTTGCCACATGATGCCCTGTGTTCTCAGGACTCTGCATAGACTCCCCACCAACAGGAAGGTTCTCACCATTGGACCATAAGAATCATGAGTTGAATAAGCCTTTGTTCTTTATAAATTACCTAGTCTGTGGTACTCAGTTATAACAACAAGAAAATGGACTAAAACTCCTTCTAAATTAAGCCCTTTCTCCAAATATAGTCACATTGGGGTTAGGTACTGGGCATTGACAGGTAAATAAATTATGGGAGGGCAGCAATTAAATCATAGGATTACTTAAGATGTCTTTCTCTGAAAAAGGATTAAATATCCTTTTGCACTAGAACTCCGTAAACATAATCTTTGCTTTGACTAATAACATGTGAATGGAAGTTAGATGCTACTTCTGAGCAGAAACAGTAGGAAGGAGTCACACATAATTTACCATGCTTTCCTTCTGCTGTAAGGACCAATGATTTTACAAAAAGGAAATCTTCCTCTTTCTGGGACTCAAACGAAGAAAAAAAGAACAAAAGCAAACATGACCACTGATATATAGGAAATGAGTCAGAAAGAAACATTGGCTGCTGTGATACATGGTAAATAAGTCAGTACCATAACCAAACCAAACACCTCCAACCATGATGAGCAGCCATATAAGGATGACTATGTTATCCAGTTATAAGTAATAGTGTTACTTTAGTCTTAACAGAATTACTTAACTTACTAAATCATAGCGAAGTGTTTGTTTGTTTGTTTGTTTTTAAGAGAGATTTTATGCTATAGGGCACAAACACTCACCAGAGAGACAAAGAAAGCAAGAGAGAAATCATCCACCAAGGGAGATGGCCATGTCACAATCCCTTCTCCATTCTCCTCTCGGGATTTGGGGCACGTACACAGATGCACCCGGTCTGAATTTTAAGTCATCGAGTCCAGGAATGCACGCGGTCTGAATTTTAAGTCATCGAGTCCAGGACTTGACCATGATCAACCCATGAGAGTCCAGCAACATAACCATTACGCCATCTGCTGGTCCCCATAAGAAAGTTCCTTAGAGTAACTAGCTATGTAACAAATGTACTTAGTAAGTCAAATTTGCCTCATGGACTTAAATTTAAAAAAAAAGGGGGGGGGGCTAGACAACAGAATGATAGTGTATTTCAGTAACTGTTCAATGCATTTAGAAAAACTTAATAAAATGTTGACCTCAGAAGGAAAAAAAGCCAATTTGCAAAAGGGAAGAGAGAAACTAGAAATGTGGGATAATGTGGGATTGAAAAACTCTCAAAGCATTTATCACTTTATCTTTTACTGTTTAAAATGGAAAGGATATAAACTCCAGTTGCTGCCAAAAAAAAAAAAAAGGAGGGGACCAGCAGATGGTATAATGGTTACATTGCAGTGGTTTGAGCCTCGGACATGGTTAAATCTCATGCTGGGGGAGTGTGTGTGCATGCCCCAAATCCCAGGAAAATGGAGAAGGGACTGTTGTGTGACCTTTACCCCAGGGGTGATTTCTCATTTTCTGCCTCTGTGGCAAGCACATGCACCATGTAGCAAAAAAACCTCTCTCTCTCAAAAAAAGGATACTAACCTCCCCCCCATTTTTTAAAAAAAAATAATTTCAAAGGATACTTCCCTCCCCCCCATTTTTTAAAAAAAAATAATTTATTTAACTTTATTTATTCATTTAATCTGACCAGTAAGGGACAGAGTGAGAGAGAGAAAGCGAGAAAGCAAGCTGCCAGGTCCGGACTCGAACTACAGTCAGCCATGTGGGAGTCCAACACCCCTAACCACCATGCCATCTGTCAGCCCTACTTTTTTTCTTTGAAAGGTTTTTGCCCTAGGGCACGTGCACACACAAGAAACAGAAAGGGAGAAATCACTGGAAAGGGGAGGGGAATGGCCATGCCTCAATCCTTTCTTCTCCATTCTCCTCTCAGGATTGTGAGCACTCATGCACATGTGCCTAGAGTTGAGTTTTTCGTTGTTGTTTTTTGAGAGGTTTTTGCTATAGGGCGCGTGCGCTCGCCAGACAGAGACACACAGAGAAAAAGAAAGTGAGAAATCATCCCCCAGGGGGTATGGCCACACCGCAATCCCTTCTCCTCCATTCTCCTCTCGGGATCATGAGCACGCACGCACACGCACCCGGCGTGAGTTTTAAGCCACCGGGTCTGGGATGCAAACTGCGGTTGACTACATGGGAGTCCAGCGACATAGCCATTACGCTAACTGTTGAGTTTTAAGCTACTGGATATTGGACTTAAACTACATTGTAGTGTATCAAACTCAAACCACATTGCCGTGGTTTGAGCCTCGGCATACCACTACATAGGAGTCCAGCGACATAACTGTGATCCACTACATAGGAGTCCAGTGACATTACTATTGCTGGTCCCCAATGCTTCCCTTAATAACAATTCTACATGCTCATAGAAAGTATATAAAAAATATTAGTCTCCCAATGAAAAAAATCAGCAAAAGTATGACAGTTCAATTCCTGTTCTCTAAACATTCAAAGTCTTTCAAGGTACAAAAAAATGGCCAAATGCTGCTGAATACTGAGGAATGCAAATTACAAATACACTGCAAACATTTGCTAAACTAATTAGGTTTGACAGAGTAAAAAGGAAAAAAAAAGAAAGAAAAAGTCTATTAATTGTGTGACAGAGTAGGCAAACATGATAATTCTGTTGGCTCTACCCATAAAATATACTCCATAACTGTCCTTACCATTTCCACTGTAAGTACCCTTCAACAAACCACCAGCTACCATAAACTACTAGCTACATAAATAAAATAAGATTCTTAAATAAACTGCCCCCCTCTCAACTTTTCCTGAGAAAGAGCCTGGAAAGGGAAAATCCAGCAGAGAAAACTTCTGGTAGTCATATGAAGATGAAATGACAAAACTGGCAACGTCAGAGGCCTAAGTGCATGGACACTTTTTATTTCATGACAGTTGTCAAACTCTGAAAAAAAAATCGTAAGGACAAAGGAGTTTTATTGGTCTGTGTGATATTATGAGACACACACACACACACACATTACATTTGTTTACAGTTTCTGGGTTTTTTTTGTCCTTGATTCCTGAAGTGGCTTCAGAACAGCTTCAGAGAGATAAAAGTTAAAGACCTTATTCTTTCTTCCTTTCATCTACCCAGGGTTGGTCACGGATAATCCAATACTCTTCTCCCTTTAAGGCCCTCATTCCAGAAAGGTCCTCCTCCATACCCAGAAAGAACAAATACCACAGAGAGAGGCCAAGAATTTGAATAGCCTTGCTGGGTTTCCCCCATCAGGTCAGTTCATTAGCATTTTGTGCCTGTGCAAAGAAGTCTTCATAAAAACGCAGAAGTACAGCTTGCTTTGGAGGAAAGAGAACCTCCAGATAGCTGAACACATGGAGGTTCCTAAGGGAAGGACATGGATGCTCTGTACCCCTTCTTATATTGGTAAAACTAAGTATTTCCCCGAGTTCCATGAGCTACTCCCAACAAATTAGTTCAACCAAAAGAGGAGTGGGTCATAAGAATCCCAACTTATAATTGGTTGGTCAGAAGTTACAGAGGTCCAGACTTGTGACTGATGTCTGAGGTAGGGGTGGGCACATAATTCAGGATCTGGCATCCTCTCAGTTTCTGAT